AATTGACATTTAGAAAGCCTGGGAGGTGCAGGTAATGCAGCAAGCTCCCTGGTCTGACTGGAACAGCCTGGCCCAGATTGAGTGGTTTGCACCAGCCAAATGCTGAAGCGGAGTTTTCCTTCCCCAGCAGCAGCCACCCCCCGCAGTTCTCACGCGGGCAGAGCAAAGGCAGGCGCCCGCAGCGGGGTGCTTCTCGCCCTGTGTGCCGCACCGCTGGGCTGGGCGCTGCCAGGGAAAGCGCTCACGCCAAGCGAGCAGCCTGCACCCGGGCACCGGGTTACACGCCAGGCGCGGGGGCAACCAAACTCTCCTCATTGCAAAACTGCGGCAAAGCCGGTGCTTCTGCCGGTGAAAAACAAGTGGCAGCGCTGGCACTGTCCCTGGCGCCGTCAGTCGGCTCTGCCAAGCGCCGCACAAAACCACGGAGCCTCTCTCGGACTGAGCACCAACTACGTCCAACCGCTCCATGTTTGACGCACAAAGGTTCTCGGTTACAAACTCGCACCCCGCTTTTAGCCAAGACCTACACTTGGCCTAACGCTGCCAGGATCCTTGTGGCGCCTGCAGTTCGACCTGACCTCTGGAGCTCGCCCAAACCTGCCCCAAGCTCCTCCCCGCTGGTTCAGCTGCATCCTGGATGCAGGATCATGGAATCACAGAATTGTTTAGGTTGGAAAAGACCTTTAAGATCATCCAGTCCAACGATTAAAGAACCATTAAGAAGCTGCAGGGAGAGGCGGTGCAGCCTCGGTACCCGCAGTCAAAGGGCTGCGCTCTGTGGAATTCGTCGCTGTACGACGTCTTGGAGATGTCAAGAGGTCACGGAGAGCCCTCGGCGCGGCCGGTGCCCACAGCCCTCCAGTCTCACCGCTCGCGTCGCCCGTCCAGCCCCTGATGCAGGCCACCCTTAAGCCCCTTTGCTAGTTTCACTACTTCAGGTGTAATAATTTTTCAGGCATTCAGGATGCTCTTGGCTTGGCAAGGTTGAGACTGGATCTCAAGAAAGCATACACGTTATCTTACAAAGGAAAATTTATTTCATTTTATGAAGCTTATATTACATGCATCGACTGAAGCTAGTACAACAGTTAACAGCAGGGCTGGGGTTTGTCCAGACTTCCATTAGTGTTTCTGGAATAAACCAGGCCAAATTAAAGAATCTTTTGCCCTTAGAAAATACAGTCATCATACAAGGAATGTTTTTTTGTTTTCACTTTAATTACTCCTCCCCTACTCCCTGCCCTTGAGCTGCATATAGCCAATGCTCCAGCTTACCAAAAAAGGAGGCAGGAGAGGAAAATCTAAACACACACACACTCCCCCCATACACCCCTAATAAACCATTGAGGTGGGAGGACTGAATCTAGCTCTATTCAGAGAAAAAAAAAATACAAACAGAATACCAGGAATAAAGCTCTTACAACAAACCAGATGCAGTACCCTTTAATAATTTTACTAGATGAAAACGTTTTACACGTTGTTCAATGAGATGCTAGAAATTCCTTCTGATTAGTTCTCTTTCAGTTTTATGGGTTTGAACAAGCAGCTGAATACACTGAAATATCGATTTCTAAAAATAAAAATATTGCATTTTTGTCAGTGTCTGTTGGATATACTCTCATACCCACCAGAGGAAGGTGTATAGCGCACCGGAGATCGCAGCCTACTATAGGCTTAATATCAAGTACAGATACACAGAAGCAGATGTATTCATCAGACCAGGTTGGTGCGGCAAACGTCAAGCTGGTACGTGTTCGTTTCCACGCAGAGAGAAGACCTGCTACAACGTCCCCGTTCAGTCCCCCGTCACTTGTGTGGCTTGGCCGTCTGAGGTTTGGTTGGTGGACTGAATGAACATGGGCTGGGTGATGTCCTGGCCTGCAGGCATGGTCACTTGCTGGATCTGATAAAGTTGCTGGCAGAGACAGAAGCAAGGGGAAAGAAATGACGGTCAGTTCTCATCACGCTCGGCACTAGGTCCCTCTAAGCACAACGCCGTACGTCAACCCGACAAGTTTAGTGGTGCTGTTAACAGCAACTCTCAGGTCCAGATAAAATCTGTCCCAAAAACAGACCACAAACTGCCGCTAGACACTTGTTGCTAAATCGTAATTAACTAACTCTAGTGAACTTCTGATGCCCAAATTGAGCTCAGGCTGCCGATGCAACAGCCAACAGCTAGATGCTAAGACCTTTATTCTTAAACTGGTTAGGACTAAGACGGATCCCACCCAGAGTGCAAGGGACTGGATTAATTTGGAGTGAGCGCAGCAGAACACAAAGAATCTGCCTGAATAAAAGCAGCACAACATCCACTTATCCTGCTCCTGGGTTAAGGTTTGGTAGCCAGCAGCAGCGTTTTATCAGGAGGAGCAGATTTGCTAGAACATGCAGACTTTAAGACGGTCTTTCTAGCCTTTGGCTTCAAAGGGATGTAGCACCAACGAACCCCAAGTTCTTACCTGTCCGTCTGTGAACTGGCTGAACTGCTGCTGTCCTTGCTGGACTTCCGTCTGCGTTATCTACAAGGATAAGAGAAGGATGATCACTGACAGCGCTTTGGAGAGGGTCAGAACCCCACTAACAATATTCTGCCGCTGCCTTTCAAGAGTTTTTAGGCTCCTTCAAACTTCATTACCCCACCACGTGGTAAGATACGGCTTATGCTGCCGGCCCACAGTCATGCTGGTGCCAACCGCAAGTCCAGAACAAAGGACACGGGATTCAGCTGCTCCAAACCAAACACAAGCGTGTCCTCCCTGACTTTCATTGAGGAGAATGCGGCCTCCAGGATCACAGAAAAGCAGCAGCCTTCCTATTCTCTGAAGGCAGAGAAGAATCCCTTAGCGACCAGGCTCGGTAAGAACATGAGACAACCTGCTGGCAAAAACCACTGGTCTTGATGTTTCACCTCTGCAATAGCTTTCCTGAGAGGTTGCATGGCTGCTCCTCCCTCACCCAGCCAGAAGGAGCAGAAGTAAAGAGAAGATTGATGAAGTTTTACCTGCAGTCAGCTCAGAAGCAGCATGAGCTTTATACAGTGAGACACACACACACATACATATACGCATGCACCTTTCACGTACAGGTAAAGGAGGCTTCCGCTATGCTCCTTGCTTTATTATTCTGATGAAAGTAACAGGAGGAAAAGAAACGCAGGAACCCTAGCCCAAGAGCTGGTAAATTCGACCGGAATTTGCAGTTTCAGGAGCTAGGGAACAACACTTTACCAGTTAATGTCAGCCCTGCTGTTATAGTGCGTACCTGCTGTGCATTGGTTGCAAGCGTCTGGATCTGCCCCTGGACTACCTGGGTGCCTGACACAGGTTGGGCTAAGCGGATATACTGCAGCTGGCCAGCATTCAACTGAACCTGGAGACAAGCGGAGGGGGCAGGGAAAGAAAATTAAACAGATAACTGGGTAACCTGAAACACACAAACTTGCCTTCTTGTTTCCACAACAGAAGCCAGAGTAATAGATGACACCGGGAAGCTTCAGTTGATTACTGGTTGAGATGAGTAACTATCACAGACCCTGGCAAAGCAAGAACGAAGTCCACAGAACTCCTGCGGGTTCCTGAAGTAAAACCCCGAGGAAGCACAACATTCCTCCCTTCTCCAGAACGGGAGCGGTCAGTTAGCAGCTCAAGCATATTAATTGCTACATTTCAGAGAGCTTCGAGAACACTTATTTTTCTTTTTGGTTACGAGAATCGAGTTACTACTTTGACGTATCATTTCACGTAAAGAAAATTCTTACGAGCTAGCTGCACATAATGACACTCCTATTATATCCTGCCAAAATTTATAAAAGAATATATGGGAAATTTTCACATAAAGACAGCAGAGATGGCAAAACCCAGGAATATTGCAAGGTAACATTTGAAGCTTTTAATGCAACTCTCTGCCAATACATGTCAACCCCCACCTGGCAAAGGCCAATACTTCCTGTGTCAATACTTCGTGTATAACACTCAAATGCAAATTTATTTCCTACAGCCCTGACCTTGCAAGGTTAGATGCTTGGGGGTGTGGGATATGAAGACAATGTCATCATTGTAACCTGTGATATAACAGCTAATACCGCTAATACACATCTGAGAAGCAACAAAAAGGTCACAGTATTATTGATACTACTGTTGAATTTTTCATTTTGTGTTATTTAACTTTAGAACATTTAGATTCACAGGCTTAAGGTTAATTATATATAAAAAAAATGTTTTGAGTTTTCTTCTTTTTAAAAAGGGGAAAGAAGGACACACAAAATACTTTAAAAACTGCTCACTGACAAAGGTTCAAGTGCCTAGAACATGGTCTTGGCACTTACACAAATGCCGCTGACTTCACCAGCTGTGTCTAAAAGCTCCAATATTATTTCAAGAGCAAATAAACTCCACATGAGCATAAACATTTCAATAAAGAATTTGTTTCTGCACTGAGATGTGCTGGCAGATCATGCCTTCCACACTGGGGGCTTCCTGCTTAGATTTTAACTACACCACTAACTGAACGGGCGAAAGCGATTTATAAAGAGCGTTCTTCTAGAAATGAGAGTAAGCTCCAAAGAACCTGCCCAACGAGGTCTAGCTAAGACACAGATTAAGTTTCACATAAAATTAATGTGGACAAACAAGTGATTACCATTGAATCGATGTATACACTTCCTTCCAGTTTTTCTCAGTTTATAAAAAATAAAAGTCACCTTTCCACAGGCAACCCGGGGTCCTAGAGTAAATGGTAAATCGCAGTAGAGAAGTGTACACAGTATCAGGAGCACGTGGAAAACCAGCAGAGAACATTAGTAAGAGCCTCTCAACACTCCTGCTATCACCAGAGGCGCTACCAGTTTTATGAGAGTGTTTCAAACTGTCGTATTTGTTATGAAAGATTTTTTGCTGAACCCTAATTACCAGAGTGAAAAGGAACTAGCAGAAGACAGCACTAACTATATCAAGAGAAAGGAAACTCAAGGGGAAAAAAATAAGAAAAGCACAGCAGAAAGAGAGCAGAATGGACAGCAGCACTGAAGAGACCAAGGACTGTAATTCTGTGAAACCAAACAAAAAGTGCTTTCCAGGTTAGGGCACTAAAAAGCTCTCGCAGCGAGTGCATGGCTCCATGTTCTGTTTTACTTCACTTGCTGGAACTGAGCAAGGGGAAAGTTCAGCACGAACTGTGATTCTTCAACACGCCGTGATTAAGAAGAATCCTCTTTGTTACAGTCAAAACGGTATCTCTGCTAGATACAGAAGTGCAAATTGTGACTATTTCATTAAAACACTGCTCCTAAGTTGCTCTCTTTTGCAGTCTTACATTTGTTAGAGACCCAAGTGCTCCTGAAGACAAAAGATACCATACTCTGGCACTTGGCAGTTTCTGTCTTACACCTGTAGCATAAGAAGCTTCTGAGGACCAGTCACAGCTACCTGCTCTTAGATGCTCCCAGGCAAGAGGAAAGTAGAAACATATGCTTGGCCAAAACCAGACACTGATTAAAAAGCCTCCAGTCTCACACTCCTAAAGCACGGGACCAGTTGCAACAGGATCCACCTATGTGGAGAACAGTACTTCCTGCAGAAGGTTATGGCCCCCTCACAGCTACTTTATAAAGAATTCTTTCTCCTAGCAGATCTCCAAGCCCCCTTCTTGTAGGGAGTTACAGCATTCAACGGACACAATTGGAAAACAAGTCTGAACTGTTCTTTT